ACGTTGGCTTGAGAGAATATTGATTCTGTTAGCAAAGGTGATATTGGGAAAAAACCTGGGTGTAGAGATCTCCTATTGTCTTTTTCCTTAATACATATATAGATATATATGAAAGGATAAACTTATCTTAGTAAAATCTTTACCAAATTTCAAATGTCAGATATTTTCCAAATTGAATTCTTTCATTTCTTCTGTTGTAATTAAATGATCACTTATTCTATATTAACCAAGCACAATATTGCTTAACTTGCCTATTTTGTAGTTTTTTTTTTAAACAAATCTTGTACAAGGCCATTGAATTTTCAGTGATTTAGCTTGAACTTGTGCTGTTTATGTGTTTTGCCTGAAAGCTTTTAAAAGAATATCTATAAAATGTGTTAAAAGGAAACTTTCTTTTAACACCACTATTATCATATACACACTCAGTAATTTTATTGTTTTAAAAAACAACTTGTTTTAGTTTTTAGAATTTTAATAAAACCCAAACATATGAAACTGGATTTATCTGAGATATCCCTTTCAACCTTTCATAAGTATGGCTGATGCTAACCTCCAGGGGAGTGACTCACTGTATCTTCTTGAGCTAACATATTCTGCTGGCATGAAGAGGAAAGATTATATTGAATCAATTGCTAGGTCTGCTACTATGGAAGTTGGTTCATTGTGTCATACTAGACAATTTTTCTCTCTAGAATCTATCTTGCATATTTATAAATCTACTATTCATCCATGCATTGAATATTGCTGCTACATCTGGTCTGGTGCTCTTGCTATATATTTAGAGATTCTTGATAAAATCCAAAGAAGAATCTGCAATGTTATTGGCCCTTATCTGGCATTTTGCCCTCAGTCACTTTTCCACCACCATAATGTAGTTTACCTATGCCTTTTCTATACTTTCATGGTAATTGTTATGACAAGTTTTTCTCTATGGTACCTAAACTTTATGAATTTAAGTGCAGTACTAGATTTATGGCAAGGTCTCACCATTTTACAGTTGAACTGGTAAGATGTAATTGTAAGTTCCATGCTAACAGTTTCTTCTATTGCACTTCTTGCCTGTGGAATTCTCTTTTGGTTTATAGCTTCCCAGTCAACATTGATCTTCAAAAATTTAGATGTAATGTCAGTTATCTTCTGCTTTTTTAATTCTTGCTCCTTTATTATTCTCTTTCCTTTTTTTCTCATACTCTCTAACACTCAGTCACCCCTTACATCTTAGTGACTTTATTGCCTTACTTGGGGAGAAATGATTAAAAAAAAAATTTAGTTAATTTATGTGATGAGAACAAATGAAAGAAATGCCCATGAAAATGCATTTTTTTTAAGGTTTATAATTGGTCACTCGACATTTAATTTAAATTTTCTTGTTTGCTTGTTCACAGACATCATACTTATTATAAAACCTAGGTTGTGTGTGTGTGTGTCTGTTCGTTTATATATTGGATCGAATTTCCTACATTTTTCAACCAATTTCAACAAAACTTCACAGGACTACGTAAAATTACCTTGCGGTGGTTCTGACCATGCCAAAAATTAGAAAAACACAATTGTTTTTGCATGAAATCAATTTGAAAACACAAGGTATCATGAAAATGAAAGGGAGACAACTCATATCGAGTTATACTTATAAAGCCCAGGTTGTTTGTGTGTGTGTGTGTGTGTGTGTGTGTGTGTGTGTGTGTGTGTGTGTGTGTGTGTGTTCATTTATATATGGGATCGGGTTTCCTACATTTTTTAACCGATTTCAACAAAACTTCACTTTTTTTTGGCAGGTAGTATTTCTTATTGTCTTGTGCCCTTTTTTCTTTATTTTTACATTCAGAAGGCTTTAAAAATTCCATTTACAAGACAATTGTTTATAATAAAATTCTATTCAATCATTATGAGTCATAACGATTGAAAACAATGTTTTTGCTTGAGTTTGGGTTTGACCAATTCGTAAAAAAAAAAAAACAACAACAAAAAAAAAACCTTAAACAATAAGCTTTTTCAATTTTATTTTTCAGTCTTTTTCAGTGGATACTTGATCTATCTCTTACTGTTACATCCCCGGGCAACGCCGGGCTCTACTGCTAGTTTATGAATAAAAATGTCTTCTTTATATTTATTTCTTTACAAATAATAAATATTGCACTGTAATTATCTCACATATTTTTATAATTATGTAAATATAAAATGATTCTTATAAATCTATCTTACATATCTATAAATCTACCATTTGTCCATGCTTAGAATATTGCTGCCACATATGGTCTGGTGCTCCTGCTATATACCTTGAGCTCTTTGATAAGATCCAAAGAAGAATCAGCAATATTATTGGTCCTGATCTGGCATCTCGGCTCCAGTCACTTTCCCACCACCGTAAGGTTACCTCTCTATGTCTTTTCTATAAATACTTTCATGGTAATTGTTCAAATGAGCTCTTTGCTATGGTATGTAGAGTTTTTGAAGTGCAGCACTAGACTGGCATCAAGATCTCATCAATTTATAGTTAACCTGACTAGATGTAGCTGTAAATTCTATGCTAACAGTTTTTTTTCTCACACTCCTTGCTTGTAGAGCGCCATTCTGACTCCATGCTTTTCAGCCAACTTTAATCTGCAAAAATTTAAATGCAATGTCAATCACTATCAATTGTCCTCCTGATTACTCTCTTCTCTTTCTTCTCATCATTATTGTTTCTGTTTCTAGTTCTTCTACACCCAGTAACCCCTTGTGATTTAGTGGCATTGTTGCCTTGCTTGGTGTGATACTGATTAATAAAAATAAAGAAAAATAAACAATCTAATAAATAGTATTTAATATTTTTTTGTCAATACTTGATAAAAAACAGAGTGCAAAAATCAAGTTTCATATGTTTGAGTTCTATTAAATTTCTAAAAATAGCTTTTAAAACAATAAAATTTAGTTTGATTTGGTTTGGTTTGTTTCGTTTTATGCCATATCAACCTCAATGGGTTATTTAATGCCGACAAGATTTTTATTGTGGGTAATATTTTTTCCAAAAATGTATTGCTGGTAATGTTTTTTTCTTCAAAAACGTATTGCTGGTAATAATGTATTGCTGGTAATAATTATTTACAAAAATGTATTGCTGGTAATATTTTTTCCTTCAAAAATCTATTGCTGGTAATATTTTTTCCTTCAAAAATCTTTTGATGATAATATTTTTCCTCAAAAATGTATTGCTGGTAATATTTATTTTCTTCAAATATGTATTGCTGGTAATAATTTTTCAGCAAAAAATTTATTGCTGGTATTAAAACCTATTTTTACTCTTTCATAGTGTTTTGACTCCAGTTTGGGGGTTAACTATTTGCCCATAGTTGTCAGTTTTGTTCAAGTGAATGTTGAAGTTACCACAAAAATGAAAGCTAGCTGAAGTGTAGCAAAAAAGCTTTAAACTTTAATTTTTCCTTGCAAACGATGTGTTCAAATAATTGATATGGTAGCCCAATTCCACAATGAACTAAACAAATCACAAGTCCAAGGGCAGAAAGAAATGTCAAAATCACAAATCACTGGTCCAATGTCATAAATCCCAATACACATAAATGGCAAGAAATCACCAGGCAAGCTGATGGACAAGATAGAAAAAATAAAAACAACTTTTCCCAATTCAAGAACACCAACTATCGACGGAACAATTTTTTCATTGGTTGACAGTTGGGAGAGTATATTATTACAATATTATCACAATATTAGCATATCTAAGATGCATTCATGGCAACACCTGCAACTGACTTGATGTATTTTGGTTATTTTGTCTTTGGCATATTGTAGAGAACTCACATTCCCTTTTTCTTGGTAAGTGACTTTCTTTTCCGCCACATGACGGAAATTCAGCGAGGATATTATCTATTGTCAGGTTTGGAATCCAGTAGATGGTATTCCACCTCTGGAAAGTTGAAATGTAGATGATTGTGAAACTGGGGACTACTTTTATTTTTGTGAAGTTAGGTTTCATAATTTTGTTCGATTTAGTTGCATTAATCAGTAGGTAATAATTTATCTACATTTTAAAGAAGTAAGGTGGTACAAATGAAAAGTTTTGAAACTGACAGCATTTTCCATTTCACTGAAACATATATTAAATACTTCTATCTTCCGTTCTTTCTTTCATTCATTTTCTTACTGAAACCAAGTAGTGTCTTTTCCTCTATTTCTGCACGATCAAAATAAAGCAGTTCATTATTTATGAGGTATTAGCAGGAGACATTAAACGCATCTATCTTCATTTCTCTCTTTCACTGAAACCAAGTAGTGTCTTTTCCCCTCTTTCCAAGCTATCAAAATAGAATAGTTCATTATTTATGAGGTATTGGCTGGGTGGAACGGTTGTGCAAAGTAATGAAAGGAAGAACAAGCACATTTATAAAAGGATAATTCTGTATAAATATTTTCAGTAAATATAGATGAAATATTTTATGCAAATATTTTCAGCAAATAGAATTAAAATAATTTTGTGTGAATATTTTCAGTAAATATAAACAATGAAAAATTAAATTTTACTTCTCATAATGATTGCTATCCAGGTAAATCCAAAGAAGTTTCGAAAATTTGAAAATAATTTTACCAAAAATGAATTAAGTCTTTAAAGTAATTTTGAAATTAGATATTGGTTTAATTTAAACTCCTTAGTTTTTAAAACTATCAAAATCTTCTATGTGCCATGTCCCTTCAGGGTGATCATAGCTTTCCTGTTCTTTATAGGTCTTAGTAAATTTTGTCTTTTTGCTATCAAAATAAAGGTCTAAATTAATAGGTTTTGTTTTATTGCAAGAATGCATTGAAGCATCATATAAATAAAGTGAACTATGATGGCCATCCAACCCCCACCCAGATAATGAGACAGAAATTTTTTTTTTCTTTTAAATATGATAATTAAAATATGTATAATGAAGGAAAGGAATAAAGAAAAGAACAACTAGCGAATGAACTACGAGCTGAAAAGGCATGCAAGTAAGTTACTGGACCTTCAGAAAAATAAAACTCACGCCATCTCCTTTCATTTCGAGTATTCGCTGCAAAGAATAAAGACAAATGCAAAAAAGCAAAAATAGTAAGCCTGTCTATTAATGCTAAGAGGAAAAAGTGCGCCATTTTTTAAAGGGAATTTTTTTAATCTTAGCAAACTGCTTTATAATAGCAAATGAACATTGAACAGAATGTCAATTTTTTTCTATTGTAAAGTTGTATATTGCATAATAAACTATGGAAAACACACCCAGGAAATGATAGTACAATCTAGTTTCTGTTCTGAATCTTGTTAAATGTGATATTTTTATTTATCGTATATAATGTGGTTTGAACTAATGGCATCTATGTGTTGCTTTCTTTTATGAAGAAAGTTGAAGGTATGGAAGGTTGGGTGAAAATTTTGCCTTGTAAATGCATCCCCGATGACAAAAGAAAGAAAAAGGAGAGTAAAGTGTAAATCCAAAATGTTTATATTCCAGAAACAGTTGTGATTTACAAAATTACTTTCTTTTTTATTTTTTTATAGTCCAGTTTCTTCATATGAAGACATTTTTTCATAGAAAATGGAATGGACTAGACACAACAATATTTTTTATTAATTTTTATCTTGGACTGTTACATCTGTTTGCTACTCAGACTTTCACATGAACTCCTTGGTTCTCTCTTCAAAAGTGTGTTACTTGAAGAGTATATAATTTCTAATAACTTAATAATTATAAATGCCTAAAAGCTAAAACTTTACAGATTAATAATTTGGTACTGATTTCTAAATTGATTAATATTTCCATTATTCTATAAATTCTTCTGTTATGAAGTGTGATTTGCTACCTATTTTATCAGTACTCTAGTTTATCTTGCATGCTTGGGCATTTATATAGTGTATAAATCCACAAAATCAGGGCACACAGTAAGAATCAAATGCATTATTTAGTTTGGTTAACAAAATGGGATTGCCAACCATTAAACCACCTCACCAAGAAGAGTAAATGTTGCTCTGCTAAAAAAAAAAAATTAAAAGAAAAACCCAACAGGTTAACTGATCATTAAGCATTTTACATGAAAAGTGTATCAATAAGTCCACAGCCTAATGATGAAAAAGCATTTATTTTATGAAATATATTTATTTTTCAACAACCACCTTCTTTGTCAGTGAACTTAATTCCATCGTGAACATTAATCATATAGTTTGAATATTATGCAGTGAAAATTTCAGGTCAAAATTTAGCTAATGTCAGGCTACAGATTTATTGATTCACTCTTGTGCAAGATACTGAAAAGGTTGTGATTTGACTTTCTTCCAAAATCTGAACAAACATAAAATTTTTTATTTACAATCACTTCTTGGTTGAGTTGAGAACTTTTCAGCACCTTTTCACACACACACACACATAAACGCGTGCGTGCACATGTGCGTGTGTGTGTGTGTGGTATGTATATAATTAATTTTTAGCTTCAACTGTTTGAATTGGTCTTGCTTTTATGTCCATCATCTTTTTCATGTTGAATTGAATATGGTCTATGTTAATTATGTTTTATGAATTTGTCCTGAAGATGGTCTATTAGACTGAAACGTCCGACGTTGACATTATATTAACATTAAAACAGCATAATTGCATATTAGAATTTTTTTTTTTCCGTATATTTTTCTTCATACTGTCAGATCTATATCCATATATTTGCTTACATATATATATATATATATATATATATGTCAACAAGAGGCAAGGTAAGTTTTGTAAAATTTCAAGTGCAGTGGAAGTGTTATAAAAAAGACATTTTTTGAGAAACTTAGATATAGAACTAAACACTTATTATTTTCAGATTTTAGAGAATTAGGAATAAATATTTAAAATTTTGTTGAAGTGATCACATAACAAATATCATTTGGTTACTGCATTTATAAAAATCTATATTAATTTTTATTTTTTTATATTTTATTTACTCTATATTTCTCTTAAGAAAAAACAAAACACTTACAAAATGTTGAGTAAAATAAAAAGAAATTTTTCTTTTGATACTACAATTTGTTTTTTGAGTTTCTTTCAGGGTGGAAGAAATATTTATATGAATTAATTAATGATTAATTAATGAAGTAATTAATTTACTGAAATAAACACTTTTAAATATACCGAGTTGAAAAATATTTTTAAACAACATTTATGTGTCAATATATAGAATTAATTGACAACTAAAAAAAAAAAGTAAAATTTAAAACTAAACTCATTATTTGAAAAAACACTTTTTACCTGAATAATTGGTGTAAATATTTTGAATAAGTATGAAAAATTAAAATTTCGAAATAGAATGATTTCCGTCCTAATAAATCTCTATAATTTCTTAAGAGAATGTTTGGAATTTAGAAAATAATTTTAGGGTAAGTGAATTAAATTTCTAATATATTTTGAATGAAAGCTACAGCTGGAAGTAAAAAAATAAATAAGAAACAGTGTAATCAAAGAAAAATGTCAAATGAATACATTTTGAAGGCATCACTGTGCTAAACAAATATTTTTTGATTTATTAAATTTTAATTTAAAATATTTAAAACAATAAATTACATCTGACAAATCACAAAATTTATGTAAAGTTTTAAATATTATTTTCAATCAAACAAATTATTAAATTAAGAAAAATCCAAAAAGACACACTTGTTGAAATATTAAAAAATATGTTAGACCCAAAATAATAACTTTAAGAAAAAAATTATATAAGTCTTCAAAAAAATAATTATGTAATATTTAATATTTAAAACAATATTTTTGTTATTGTAGGTAAACAAATATAATCAAAGAAAATTATAATTTGTGAAGGTAATCACTTACCTGTTGGTACAATAATTGTGGGAAGTTGGTTTGATCTCCTCCTCCTCCACAGTTCAATTCGCTCCACCAATCCATTTAAGAAACGATCATCAATTGAACCACTTAAAGAACGTCCCATAGTTGTTTTAGATTCTGTCGAATGCCATCGGTGCAACTTAGGATCAAAATCTTGTCCCACCTGTTTACGGTTGAGAAACATTCTCAGACCAATATCTGGATGCCAATCAAGTTCAATATTCTGCCATTTTCGAGGCTTAAATTCATCAGTTGATACTTCCCAGGTCTTTGTTGAAGTTCTTAGCTTCCCATAAAGCCTTCCTTCAAGATAATACAATGACAGAGGATAGCTGTCAATAATGTACATATTGTCTAGAAGCTTTTCAGGTTTAACAGTGACTCTTGCGACAAAGCCATCGATACAATTTTCCAAGTCTCCACCACAGGTAATGTTTACTCCTAGATTACCATATTGATTGATACCATTCAGCCTCAGAACTTTTCCATAACTTCCTGTTGTCAGTTCAGGAGAACCAAAAAAGGCAACTCCAGGAATGAGGAGACGGTCAAAGCGGAAAAACTTCTCTGGCACATCAGCTAGAAGAGTTAAAAAAAATGATTGTATATACTTATGTAAAAGTCATTTTTTTTTTTCAATTATATTTTTAGAATTAAATTTATTTAGTGGGTAGGTGTACTACTATATACTTCAGAATGTTCAAAATTATCTGTGAATTTATCATTGTGTCAACAGAAACCAAACATATTGAAAAATGTAAGACTCCATTGTTTGAATAATTATTACACTTACATTTAACACTCTTATCTCTCACAATCAATATACTATGTTATTGAATTAAACAATGTATTGATAGCATAAGACAATCATTCACAAATCTTCTATATGAAGTTGAAGTATTTGGTAGGATCATGTTTATCTATTAGACTATTTATTTAAACCACTGGTAGTTGTGTCTTGCTGAACTCTACAACAGTGTCTATGTACTGATATAGTACTTTTTCCTTTTTTTTTTACATCAGTGTTCACCATTTACAAGGCTCATGAGCTATTTGTTATGGAGTAGTTTCACAGTGGAGGCTTGTAGTTGTACTAAGTCGGTCTTAAAATAGGTTCGACGTACAAAATGTTAAGAACTTGATATAATAGGTAATGACGCAGAGAAATCTAGTTGTGGTGGCTGATACTTTGATATCCAACTAACGGTCGTCTGGCATCGACTGACTGACCATCTCACTGAGCGACTTCGCGACTGACTTGTTACTCTTACTACTCCTACTTATTATAGGTGGGAGAGTCTATTAACTATAGAATAGGTGTGTTCCACTATAACACTATTCAAGATAGAGGGTTATATAGTAAGAGGCACAAGTTTATGGGGATATGTAGAGAAGATAATGGTTAACTCTAGATTTGGGCAAATAAAAATTATAGTGATTGGAAAAGCATCCTCTTGGGAGTTGGTTCTATAAAGCACAATTCATGGAAATAAGCTGCTCGACTGCTGAATGGAACTTAAATCTCACCAATGGAATATGAAGGGAATGAGGGCAGTTCGATAAAATGTGTGTGGCATGGTAGATCTTTGCTGTGAATGTTAGAAGTGGTGGTACTAAGGAATGCGGCCCATCTGAATATAGCAATAGAATAACAAGTGGTGTGCAATGTTTCTTCTCTGGGAAAGAGATTGAAGGGTGGAAAATAATTCATCACCCACAAGGACACGGAAATGCTTTTGGACTCTATGAAGACTTGAAAATGAAGACTGGGTAGCTACTATCCATATATATCAGCAGTTCACTACTGCGGATCATACCCTGAACTACTGCCAGTCACAATGAATGGATGTCCCTTTGAATTGAGGAGGCCCATTGCCTTGAGAGGATATTGGGCTTCAAACTCACAGCTGACTTCAAGTAGAACTCTTGTATACAATCCATCACTAAAGATGCAGGTAAAATGATTGGCTTCCTGTACTGCTCCCGTAAGTACCTGACTCCTCATGCAATCCTCTACAAGACAGATCAGGTTGAAAATGGAGTACTGTTGCCATATTTGGGCAGGAGCTGCCCAGACCTTACTTTCTAGTCTTGATAGAGTTCAAAAGCATCTCCAAGTCCTTGTGGGAGAAAAATTATTTTCCACACTCCAACCATTCTGTCACAGGTGGGATGTGGGGAGTCTCTTACTGCTCTGTTGCTACTATTATGGAAAGTGCTATGATGAACTGCATCTCCTGGTTCCAGCAGGTTTGACCTTCATAGCTAGGATCTGCCGTGCCACTTATATAGGAGCAAAACATCCACATTCCCTCATATTTCCACCAGCAAGAAGTAAATTCCATTTAAATAGCTTCTTTCTGTGAACCATTGCTTTGTGGAACAGAATCCCAAGAGGATGTTTCCCTGATCACTACAATCTTAACCTGTTCAAGATAATGGTTGACTAGAGTCAACCATTATCTTCCTCTCCTATCCATAGAAACTACCCCTTAACATAACCCTCTACCTCAAGTGGCTCCCAAGCCTTTGTACTGGATGAACTTTACTGTAAAAAAAAAAAAAAAAACTTTTTTGGCCTGATCTGGTTTGAGTCAGGAACTTACTGGATCAGTACAGGGAACAGACCATTTTTCCAGCATCTTTAGCAATGGACGATATGTATGGATTCCACTTGAGGTCTGGGTTGAGTTTAAGTCCTAATAGGCACTCAAGTCATGGGGCTTCCCCTGAGAGAACGTCCGTTCATTGCTAGAGGTGAAAATTCTGTTCAACAGAAATGCATGTACTGCTTAAATTCATTGGTACCCAGCCTACTTAGTCAACCAATTGGTTTTGCATTATTTAATTGTGTTCAATTCTTATATAGGTATACAGAAGGTGCTTAATGCCCTTTGATAGAGATAAGTCATGTGGGTCACATAACAGTTGCTTAGTAACGTCACTCCATAGAGTGATGAGAGTGACAATCATTTTCAGTTTGTTTACAGCAGCCAAACTGAAAGGTTGCTTTCTTTAGCCCAGGGCCCCTCATGGCCCAAGTAGAGGCTAACTCTGCCTCCCCAGCAGCTTAAAATCTATGGTATCATTTCCCTTTAGGAATATATCTTTCCCACATATAGAAAGAAACTCTGGCTGACAGTCCTCAATTTGGGGAAACCCAAGACACACTGTTTCCTGTTCGTGGCATATGTCCTCATTTGGGACATAGTCGATGAATCCAGCCTATTTGAATCTAAAATCCTAAACATGGCTTCTCCAGACACAGGTGTATCTTCATATTATATGTAAAAACCTTCCTTTTTGCTTCCTCTTACACTCTGCTTTGCTGTGTAAATATATGTGATATATTATTCTCTGTGTGGAACATGTATATATATATATATATATATATATGTATATATATATATATATATAGTTCCATGTATGTCTTAAAAGTTTCTCTGAGAATAAAAGAATGTTTACCATGTTTTCCTTTCAGCCATTCTATTTTGTCCGTGAATTACAGTATTATTATATCATGTTTATAATAATGCCCATAGAGGGGGAAATTCGAATGGGAGAACAAATCTTTCTAATATGGCTATCCTCCATTACAATTATGAGGTTTTGTAATGTGTTGGAATGGCCTTGCAATCTTTATGATTGCTGACAAATTCAAGCAATGAGCTTGTATCAAATTTTGTGAGAAGCTTGGCAAATCCGTTAGCAAGGATCTCAAAATGTTTGGTCAGGCTTGCTGGACATTCTTGTGGTTGAATACAGATTTTGAGTGGCACATGCAGGGCCAGATGAGGAGAGGCCCTAGGCTATTCCATTTGTGAGGCCCCTCCATATCCCCCATTCTCATAAGTAGAGGATAAATGGTCAGCTACATTAAACATTTTAAGTAAAGCTGAGAATGATGACAGGTGTTGAAAATTACTGAAGATTTATTTAGAGTCTACAATGTGTTATGACAGCATGTGTAAGAAAGGCCTACAATAGTATAAAAAATATACACCTTGACTGGAGGCCTCTTAAATTTTGCAGCCCTAGGCTTCAGCTTGCTAAGCCTATAGGTAAATCCAGCTCTATGTACATGTGTTTCAAGGCTGGCCTTGTGTTGATATAAAAAGAGCCTACATGGTGACTAATGATGAATAAAATTCCAGAATTTGTTAACTCATCTATATGAACCATTAATTTAAATATTACATGAAATATATTATTTACTGGATTATTTTTTAAGTTTAGTCTGAGAACCATCCAATACTGCTTTATGCAATAATATTAAATGTGAATGATGTAGGATTATATACCCTCAAATACAATATATGGACCCATTTATCACCATTAGAAACTATACTGATTTTTGTTTACTAGTGATTCTGGTGTAAACATTGGCAATAATAACTTTGATAATTTTTACACTCATTTTTAAACATTATACCCACTTTTATCTTGACCATAACAGGATTCAGCTTAAAGAAAATAAAAAAATTAATAACACTTGTTGGAAAATAGCTATAAGCAAATTTCTTAAAATAGATCTAAGGATCTTGCCTAGATATATTTTGTGGACTAAAGGTGATTAGAGGTGATTAGAAGTGATTACCAAACCAAGGTAGTTGGAATCATTAGGTAAAGTAGGGAGATAATTGGCAGAATTTTGGTCTATCAATAACTTGGAACATAAAGAGTGAATACCTATAGACTTGTAAGATCAGTTCAGAAATGATTCAGCCATTTAATGTGAACAAAAAATGCAGCTGACCTAGGGCAATGGTGCCATATTCACATTTAATGTACTCTGCTTGGATTCCTGCACATTTATACCAACATCCTTTTAAAACAATCTGTAAAGCCTTTTGTAGGGATCACCATCAATTGCTTTGTGTTCTTAACCTTATCCACAGTCTGAAATCCTCTCAATTTCTAAAGCAATTTCATCTTTAGGAAATGCCAAAAAACTGTAGAGAACCAAATCTAGACTGTCATGTAGGTGGGTACTGACAGACTTGATGAGTGGAATTTTTTGTCCCAAATCAATACATAAAATATAAAAAATAGGCAGTTGAGATATTCAAAATGGCTGGATATTTTCCAGACAGTCAATTTGCTTTGATTACAGCCTGTAAGTGTTCAATATTTTCAGACTATCCAGAAAATGGATCACTTTCAATGGATTTTCCAGTCAAGCTGGAAGCATCAGTATCAAAATTTTATTTGGGCTTGGCTTATTCAATAACCTCTGAATATTCCAGGTGAATATGTCAATTACACTTGACACAATCATTATATCCCAGGTGAATATGCCAGGTGTATCTGTCAAGTGAGTATCTCATTTGAATATGGCAAGCACATCTGGCACATTCACTACGTCCCAGGTGAATGTGTCAGGTGGATATCCCAGGTGAATGTGTCAGGCACAAGCTTACTCATTAGTGCCTCCTAGCTCACTGAGTAGCCCTCTGGGAGAATGCTGGCTGAGTAACCCTATGGGAGAGTGCTGATTAAGTAGTCCTATGAAAGTTCTCATTCATGTATAATAGGGTCTCTTCTGATTGATTGCCATGTTATAAAGGTATGCAACCAGTTTTGGAGAGGTTCAAAATGGCTGAATACTGTCTAGGCAGATCCACAATAAATACGATACCATAGCTTTGGCACTGTTACCAAGTGGTGAAATTAAATACAATAATATAAAAATAATAAGAAGATCATCTTACCTGTGAGGAAGGGTCCGTAGCCTTTTGTGATACCATTGACATTCGTCCGGTAGTATTTCAGCTCATCAACACTTATGTTGGCATGATAACGCTCATGGGTGCTGAGGTCAGTTCCAATATAAATACCTTCACCAGCAGCAGGATCATCTCTGGGAGTATAAGCCTCAGATGTGCCAGTCACTGCCACCTTTTCCTTATCTACATACATGGTTAGGCCTCTGTAAGGATCCCAGCTTAGGACAACATGTTGCCATTTGTTGGTTTTGAGTTTAGGAGTAACGACTGACCAGGAACGTGTACCATTAAAGAACTTGGCATGTAGCTCACCATTTTCTGAATATAAGGAATATGCTGGACTGGAGAGGAAATACTTCTTCCCTTTCAGGTCTCTTGGATTCAGCCAGACTGATGTAGTTAAACCATTGATACACTTGTCCAAATCATAGATGCAATCTTCTGCCTTGGGCTCAATATGAACGTGTTGATCGATTCCATTAAGTGATACCCCATTTCCGATGTAGCCTTCAGTCAGGCTGGCACCATTGACTAAATTAACAGTAAAGTGTGGATTTTCTACAATACCATTTTTACTAGTCTCCATAGAGAAAGTCTCCTGACCATTGTTGTCTGCAGAAAGTCAAAGAAAAAAAAGATGCCAAAAACTAGGAGCATGCCAGACCAAAAACTGCAAGCAATTAGGCAAAACACACTAAAAAGCAAACAGTGTGATATTTAATTTTTTTTTGTAAAGTAATTTCTCATTTGATGCCATATTGTAGGAGGGTTATTCGTAGTAGTATTCAAATTTAAATATGTGAAGAGTGGAGATTATAAATTATTGCTCCAGGATAAGAACAATGAGGGTGTCCATATTTAGTTTGTGTGAGTACTTACTTGAGTATATCATATACAATATTATTATTTTCAATATAATAAATTTGAAAATTATATTAAGAAATATATATTAACTATAATGGACTGAAATTTTAATTAGAATATTCTATGAAGTGAGGCTGAAAAGTTCTTAGTCTGACCAAAATTGGATTTAAAAAAAAGAAATCTGGTCAGATTTTTAGAAGTGGATTTAAGCCAAGAACTTTTTAGAACCTTATCATACAACAGCTATAAAAATAATTTTATTGAGTAGCAGTTGTTGGTGCTGCAAACATGACAGTTTGGTCATATGTTGCAGTTAATCAAAGATTCAAAAAAATAACTTCTTTATTTTAGTCTCACTTGTAAAATGGTAGTGCAATGGATAGTAGCTTAGAATAAGAAATTGGAAATCCAAGTTCAAATTCCAATTTACATTCACTTATTTGCAAATATCCTTGAGAAAGGTATGAATCCATCTCCTTCCCCAGATATGGGTTAAATAGTAATCCTTGTGTCTAGAAAAATCATTGTTATTCTCAAGAAACTGTTAATTCTATATTCACTTGCAAAAAAAAACAAAAAAAAAGGAAACAATTATTCTTAAAATTGAAAATATGTTTTGGCTTTAAATAACTCACAAAGGACTGTCTATATTTCTAAGATGAAGTGTTGTAATTATTTAAACCATTTACATTGTTCAGAAGGATTCAGTTCAAACTTCCAACCACCTGAAGAAGGCTGGAGCATACAACACCCAAAATGTCTTGAATATAGCAAAAAGATGAGGACAAAAATCTGAACAATGTAACTAGTGTAAATAACCCACAAAGTGTTGATAAGCCATAAAAAAAACAAAAACAAATCAATCACTTGCAAAATTTTAAAAACTTGACTTTTGGTACTTGAATTCTTCACTGTTAATATTAAGTCTTTTCTTCATTTTATTGTTGCCTTTTACAATAACTTTCTAAATCAATTTTCATATTTAATGGTTAGAATATATTTAACAAAGTTATGATAAAAATAGAGGAAGAAAAGATTAGCTAAAAATGAACAAGTGACTTTTGTTGTTAATTCATGGGGCTATTTGATATGAAATATTGAGATAAAAGAAGTTATTTTATCAAGATGGCAGCATTTGAGAAATGATTAATTAGAAAATTAATGATAAAAAAAACCATATAAGCAAAACTATATAACTACATAAATGTAAAGGAAAAAGTGCAGATCATGTGGACTATGGTTGAGGCTAAGACATACAATACAAACTACAAAATTACATGGGGTGCAGCTAAGGCATTCCAGTGTCACTTAATTTATTATTGGCAGAAGTGGTGACTTTATAAAAGCTTTATTGTAAGTATGTGATGGATATTCAACAAAGTATAACTGGACATGAAGGTCAACAATATTTTTTAAAATAGGCAAGATTGACACTTTTTATTTTTAGAACAGTAGGTTAAGACAAAATAAATCTATGAATTGATATAAAACTAACATAACACTATTTTTGAATCATCTGTTTTAAATAATATTAAATAATTTCTGTTTGAATTTCTGAGACAAAGAGTTACCACGATTTACATTATTTATAGTCAGTCTAATGTCTTCATGTTTGTTGTTATTATCTCAACATTTCGGCTGTTGTGTCATCCAGACTTCTTCAGGTGTCTGTTAAACCAGGTAACATTCAAGGAATTTTAAAATGACCCATTTTATTTAATCTATGGGTGTAGATATTTCTCATTTCACTGTCCATGACTAGGGATGTCTCATTTTGTTAACTAAAAACAAACAAGATAAGTTATCCCTAGACATGGACAACAGAACAGGAATAATCTAACCCCATAGATTAAATAAAAGCTCTGTTCAATATTCTCTGAAAGTCACCCAGATTGGCAGAGATTTGAAGAAGGCTAAAGAGCACAATGGCAAAATTGCTGCGATAAAAACAACAAAGATGAGGACATTAGTTTGACTGTAAATAATGTAAACATATTAAATAAAATTTTCCATTAGGAATAATCATAAACTCTAATAAGGTTCATTTAGTAGTCATATTAAAGTTGAAGAACAAATGAAAATTATGAATTGTTTTGTTTTCTAAGATAAAATTAAGTGAAACTGTAGTTTAAAATTTGTGTTATCCACAAAATTGACGAGGAATTTTAATCCGTTATAATACTTCCATATTCAAATTCAGTATGTCTCATTTTTTTAAATATCTTTCTACCAAATTGTCAAGCAAAAGACTTTAAATCAGACCATTCTTCATCTTGGAGGCATTTGTAAAAGTCAAACTTTCTTTGTATCTGTCTCAGTATTTATACTATTTACATTATTCAGACAGTTGTCCTCATCTTTGTTGTCATATTCACAATGTTTCAGCCTTCTTCAGGTGATTGGAATTTTGAACCAAACTCTTTATTTTGTCCACTGGGGTAGATTGTTCTAGTTCAATAAGCTATGGTTCTTCCGGATAATATCAGTTATTTCTCTTTAGTAACTCAACTCTTTGAGTTTTTGTTCCTCAAGGACACATGGCCCAGTGGATAAAAGTGTTGGTTGAAGTAAGCCAGTGACTTGTCCCAAAAAGTTCTGAGTTCAATACCTAGTCACAGTAGAGGTAAACAAAAACTTGAAGAGTTGAGTTATTAAAGTGAAATGACTGAAACTGAGATATCTGGAAGAGGCATGGTGCATGGAACTGGAACAGTCTACTCAGGTGGATGAAATAAAGGGTTTGGTTCGAAATTCCAATGACCTGAAGAAGGCTGGAGCATACAACGGCTGAAACGGTGTGAATATGACAACAAAAATAAGGACAACAGTCTGAACAGTGTAAATAGTTACCTAATCTTAGAAATATAGACAGATACTGTCTTTCAGTATGTTATTGAACTGTAGGTCAATCACTTCTAATTATAGATCTGATGGTAGGGCTTGAATGATAGATAAACAATTTAAAATTTTACATATAATAATATTAAAGTAAAACTCTATAAGATTTGTTATTTAAGAATAATAGCATATTCCATTTAGTTTGTATGTATATGTAATCTTAAAATTGGTCAGATTTATTTACCCCAAAAAGATGATTTGGAGATTTTTGTATGTGGATTTCTTTTATTCTAATTTCAGGGTTTTTTTATTGCAACTTCTCAGACTGTTATTTCATGGCCATTAGTAATCAGCATAGATAAAAAATAAAACCGCCTACTGCAAGACTTGAACTTGAACTCTTTTTTCTTTAGGGAAACCTGTCTTAGTATGATTGCCATACATATTAAGCCATGAAGATAAGCAACTACAGAAATTTAAATCTAACCAATCTAATATTATACTTATTTAATTACTACATTTGTACAAGCATTCATTTACATGCATAATAAACTATTACAGCTAATTTGCATCTAAACAATTCTTTGTAAAGAACTTGTTTTATAGAGTTTTCTTATAAACAAGTGAATTAAAATCATCAAGAAATAAATATTTGAGAAATGGGAATATATGATGTATTTAAAACATTTTGAATTCATAAACATGAGTTAGATACATAAAGGAAATGATGCATATAAAGCTGAAGATTTGATGAACAAAATGTAAAATAATTGATGACAATATGATAAACAGAGATGAGGCAAGATGAAAAATGACTGAACACATTAATAAAATAATATCTAACATGCAGAGAGAATGAAAGGATGATAAAACTGTAGAAATATTTACAAACATAGGGGCATTTAGATAGGAATGCCCTTGGGACAGATTACAATTATTAAGAAATATCTACTTTATTTAGATTAAAGTAGATGGTTCATAAGGGGAGATAATTATTGTGATGATCAATGGTAAAAAAGTTCAACATCAAAATGGTCAATATGAAATGAGAGATAAAACATACAAATCAGGAGTAAATATAATTCTGTTTTGCTGAGATCAATAATCATAAATATGATCAACTGATGAATAAATATTATTGAAGTAATGTTGTTAACTTTGTCTCATGCTGAAAACATATTTTTTAACAATATTCAGTATTCAGTATTGATAGCTTTCCCAGATTATATAAAATTTAAAAAAATGAATACATGCACAGACATTTATAAATTTTTATATAGCAGATTTTTTTAACAGAGAGATCCAATTGTGATTATCAGAATAATTTGCCTTTGTAATATGAGACATAAAAAATGTTATTTTATTTTTAGTGTATGGAAGAATTTTAGGTATTTAAGCAAATTCTAAAGTAAACAAGTAGAATTTTGAATGTGATGAATAAGGAGACAAAGTAGGGAAAAAGATGGCTGAGTGGAATGCACAGAAAGATGGGTGGCCAAAAGGTGGTCAAGTAGCATGGAGAAAAAAGGGCAGATGGGTGGCATATAGAAAAAAAGGGTGTCTGAGTAGCATAGAGAGAGAGAAGAGCAGCTGACTGGAACAGAGAGAAAATGGTGGCCCACTGGCATGGAGAGAGAAAAGATTGGCCCACTGGTATGGGCAGAGAAAAACGTGACCCACTAGCACAGAGAGAAAAAGGTGACCAAGTGGCATAGAGAGAAAAGGGCAGCCAAGTGGAAACAGGAGAAAGGGGCAGTTGAGTAATAAAGTGGAAGATGTGGTCATGTGGTACAATGAAAAATGTGGTCAAGTGATACAGTGGAAAATGTGGCCAAGTGGTACAGTAGAGAATGTGACCAAATGGTATGGTGGAAAATGTGGCCA